AGCTCAACTAACCTGCTCCGAAATCAGGTGACACTGGCTTCTAACCTTGCACGTGCCGGCGCCTTCTGGTCTGTGGCCCTGTCCTGTCTGCACTGCCCTGGCTTGCGGGGGGTGGGGGGTGGGGGGGTGGGTGGGGGGGGGGGGAGGCCTTTCCCAGGCTGGAGGCAGGGCTGGTTTCAGAGGCCTGTGCTGGGAACTCCCGCGGCAGACCAGCCCTGGGGTCCAGCAGGGACAGAGGCTGGGGGCTCTGGGTGGCCAGGGTGGGCTCAGCGTCGGGGCCCTGGGGGCTCTGGCGGTCCTGAGACGGACACCCTAGCGTCCAGAAGGCAGGAGGCCTGGAGCCCTTTGTCCTCTGAGGCTCCTGCAGGGAGGGGCTGCCGGCACCAGGGCTCTGGCCTGGCACGCGCTGCCCTTCGGGCCTCAGCACTGTGAGGGGGTCCTGCATTGTCTGAGGAGAAAGCCTGAGGGGGCAGAGTCTCCTTTCCCGGGTCCCAGAGCCGCGTCGTGGCTGAGTTGGGGCTCACAGGACTTCAGGGCTCCGCGCCCTGGCCCAGGCTCCGTGTGGGCGGTCCTGCCACAGACTCATGGGGGCCCTTGGGAAGTGTGAGCCCCATAGAGCCCTGGAGGGGACACGGAGGGCTCTTCCGCCGGGCTGGTATGCTGAGGCCTGGGGCGGCCCTTGGGGGGTCTCCGGGGCGGTCTGCACACGGTGGTCCCGGGGGCCTCCTGAAGGAGGGAAGCTACGGCCAGCAGTACTGCGCTCCTCTCGGGCGGGTGTGTGTGCAGGGCCGCTGGGTGCAGGGCCCTGGGAGAGGTGGCCTTCTGGTTTTCTCTCCAGAGAAACTGATGTGACCTGGAACCTGAACCCCTTGTGGTCTTGGGGTGGGGGCAGGCGACAGTCCCAACCCAGGAGATTGGGTTTCTCTCTGGGCAGCTGCCCGTTTTTGCTGGGCCACCTCCTGATTCCATCGTCCCGGCCACATGTATCGGATGCCTCTGTGTGGCGGGCGCCGGGTCAGCGTGGGCTGGTGGCCAGCTTCTGCCTTGACCTGCTGCCTGATTTCTTCTAGGCCAGAGCTGTGTGCTGATTTGGGGGGACAGTGCCCAGGAACTCCAGGGTCCGAGGGAGGCCCCGGCGTCTGTGACAGGCCGTGCCTCCTCTGCTGCGGGGGTGCAGGAGGGCGAGTGGGCCTTTTGCAGAGCATGGACTCTGGCCAGAGGGCTAGGGCTGGGGCCGTGGGCCCAGCGACATGGTTTCTGTGTCATTTTCCTGAGGCGGGTCTTTGGAGGCCAGGAGAACGCTTCTGTGGGTAGGAGTGTCCCTAAGACTGTGGGGCCTGGGGTGCGGCCTGTAGCAGCTTTGGGGCTCCTGGGATGGGTGTGGTTGGAGATCCTGCTGGGAGGGCCCACACCCGGCCCTTGGGGTGCAGCAGGGGACGCTAAAGCCCGTGATGTCATCTTGGATGTTGGATGCACGTGTTTTGCCCGCAGCCAAACTGGCTTTCCATTGGATTGAGCATTCTTCCTTTGGCTCTCCCCCTGCCTCACGCCGGCTGGGGTGGGGCAGCCTGGGGGGCCCGCGGGCGGCTGGCTGCCTGTGAGCTGGGTACCTGGGGCCTGAGGCTGCCCCGAGGGCTGGCCTGACTTTGCAGAAACAGTGCAACCTGGTGGGGCTGTGCGCTCTCGAGTTGACCAGCTCCAGGTGTGCCCAGGCTCGTCTGAGCTCTTCACACTTGCCAGTCCCCCGACACCCGCCCGCAGGGCCCTGGTGCCCTGGCGCGTGGCAAGCCAGCCCGTTTTGGGTCCGCTGCGCACGTCCATTGGTCAGCACGTAGCAGAGCCACTGGGGCTGCCAGCCCGCCCCACAGCGGAGAGCTCTCCTGCACTCCCTGCCGCTCAGAGATCCAGGCGATGGATGTGACTCAGCGAACAAGACTGAGGCCCTGACCTTCAGAATGAAACGGAGTAGCGCTGTTCACTGCGGTGTTGCTGGAGCGTGGGGCCGTGCCGGCACACAGCCCGAGATCTGTGCCGTTGCCATCGCCCTGGTCACGATTGTTTATTGGGGAGTTAGGGCCAGCCTTGTGGGGTGGAGGCCCAGGAGCTGGGTGGGTCAAGGCAGGCGCCCGGGACGGGCCTAGAGCCAGACTCCTGGTTGTCGCGAGAGAGGCGCTCACGCCCCCTGTGGGGGCCACTCGTGTTGCGGTTTCACAGACCATCTTCAGCAGCCCCAGGCAGCACAGGCTGCCCAGGCCAGAGCCGCTCCGTCCAGGAGCAGCGGGCATGCGTTTCTTTCCCTCCCCTTCTGCCTTTAATTGTTAAATGAGGTTTTTAAAGCTTGGGCCAGAGCACGCTCACTTGAGCAAGTTCCAGTAGCCTGAGGGGACTTGTAGTCAGGAGAGATGGCGGCCCCTCTCCCCTCCCACTCACCCCAAGCCACGGGGCTCGGCCTGGGCACAGGGCAGTAGGGCTGGCGTGGGCTGGTCCCGGTGCCCGAGGCGGGCGGGCCGGCCTGTGGGCTCGGGACCCTGGTGCTTTGTCCCGATGCGGCATTCCAGCCAGCTGCTGCCTTTGTCAGAGGCCTGAGAACAGAGGCTGCTGCGGGAAGTGGTCCTGGGTGGAGCCTGCCCCGCTCCTGGGCAGTGACTCAGACCGCGTCCCGGTCACTCCGAGTCACTGTTTCCAGCAGGGCCTCCAGGAGAGCTGGCAGAGCCCTCCAGGCAGAGTCTGGTGATGGCCCTGCACCTTCCGGGCGCTGCTGCTGCATTCCCCCATTCGGCTCTGCCTGGGGCCCAGCTCCACTGCGGGGTGCAAGGGTGGAGGGCACCGTGTGCCCAGGCCAGGTGGGGGCTCGGAGCAGGCTCAGGCACCCTGCCAGCTGCCCAGCTCCGTGTCCCCAGGGCCCTGCCCTCCATCTGGGTGCACAGGTGACAGAGGAGAGGATGTAGGGGTGGGGGGCTGGGAAAGACTGTTGGGGAGGTGAAATGCAGGCTGGGGGCTGAGGTTGAGTAGAGGAGCCTTGAGAAAGGGGGCAAGGGATCCTGTGAGGGGACAGCAGGGCCCAGAGAGCTGGGCAGCAGGCTGACGCCGAGCCTCAGGGGCTCACATAGGGGGCAGGTCCCCGGGGCTGAGTCCTGTGCCCCAGCACCTGGCCCGTGCCCGTGCCTTCTTATTGTGCCCTACTCACCCCTCCTCTCCCTCCTGGTCCACCTGGCAGGAGAGGGGTTCCCTTTGCCATGGCTGCTCCGCCCCCTCGGAGGGCCTGGCACTGGGTCCTGGGGGCTGCGATGGTGGGGCTGCCCGGTCCCACCCCCCTTGCCCAGAGCCCTGTCTGAGCTCGCTGGGCGGGAGGTTGGAGAGCAGGTCTGGGGTGGCCTGGCCTGGCCTCGCTGGCTGGGATGGGCGGCAGAAGCAACGACTGTCCTGCCTGCAGGCCGAGGAGGAGCTCGTCAAAGCGCAGAAGGTGTTCGAGGAGATGAACGTGGACCTGCAGGAGGAGCTGCCGTCCCTGTGGAACAGGTGAGGGGGAGGCGGTGCGGCCCCTCGCCTCCTTCCCCGCTGCACAGCTGTGCCCGTGCCTGTCGGGGTGCGCCCTCAGGGCCGTGTCTCGGGTGAGGGTGGAGTGGGCAGCGTGTCCGCACCCTCCTGGTTGCCCACCCTGACCTGCGTGTTGGTTTTGTCTCCTCCCTCCCCCTGCAGCCGTGTCGGTTTCTACGTCAACACGTTTCAGAGCATCGCAGGCCTGGAGGAGAACTTCCACAGGGAGATGAGTAAGGTGGGTGGGCGTGCCGTGCCGCCCAGGGCCGGCAGAGGACGGGCCGGGAGCCCGCTTGCCTGCCCTGCCGAGGTCCTGCACAGGCCCTCTGGCCCCGGGAGGAGCTGCCCTGCACGTGGGAGCTGTGTGGTGCTGGGGGCTGTGGGCGGAGCGCCAGGGCCCACGCCCGCCCGCTCCCCTGCCCACTCTGTAACCTGTTCGCGGGCAGCTTTGGCCCAGGAGCTGTGTCAGACGGTGGTGGCTTCCCAGGTTGTAGGCAAATAAATCAATTGCGAGAATCTTCTCAGTTTTTAATACCTTTCACGTGTCGTAGATATTGAACCAGGACTGTTTTGTCTGCCTGAGCTGGTGTGAGAAGGGGTCTGATTGGCCTCCATCCCATTGTGTTATTTTCACGTTAGTTTAACCGGAGTTAGAGGGCAGCGCTGAGGGAGACCCGCCGTGCCCTGGCGGTCTCTCTGGCTCCGGGCCTGGAGGAGGGGAGGGATGCTGCGGCCCAGCCGGCCAGAGGGAGCAGCACGCGTGGGCCTTCCCCGAGTCCCCGCGTCACGCCGCGTGGCCGTCCCTTTCTGCCTTCTTTCCCTTTTCCCTTCGGAGACCCGAGACAGCCTAGGAGATGGGAACAGAGGGCGGTGGTGTGGGGGAGAAGACATGTGTGTTAAGTAGGAGGGGGATGAATCTCTGAGCTTCCTATCGGCCAGGACAGAGGACGATGCTCAGTAGTGAGACTCGCGTGCACGGGCGCCTGCGCCGCGGGGACCTCCCTGGCAGGTGGCGTGGCCTGGAAGCGCCTGGGCACGAAGACCTCACCGTTCAGACCCCCAGCTAGTTTGCAAGAACAGCTTAGACGTTTTAAAGCAGGACCAGCTCGGTGTGGCCTGTGAGGAATCCCTACGAGTAGAAAGGAAAGAAAAGATGGTCCCTGGAAACCATGGCCGTGGCAGGGCAGCCACTGCCTCCATCTCGCCCCTTGGCTTCCTGGTTTGGGCTGTGGGTTCGCAGCGCCCCCTCATGGGGGAGCAGCGCTGTTTCCGCAGGGACGGGTGCGGGAAGGGGTTCAGAGGGAGAGGCAAGATGGCGTTGGGAGAGGGGCTGTTTGGTGGCTCCCGAGGCTCCCCTACCTGTGCTCTCCCTCTGCAGCTCAACCAGAGCCTCAACGACGTGCTGGTCAGCCTGGAGAAGCAGCACGGGAGCAACACCTTCACGGTCAAGGCCCAGCCCAGGTGCGGGTTCTCTGCTGCTGGTGGGGAGGGGCGTGGGCGTGGGCGTGGGCGTGGGCGTGCTCTGTGGCTCTGCACTCGGGCAAGGCTGGGGCAGGGCTGCTGCTGTGGTCGCCCCGGTTGGGCCTTCCCGGTGAGGGCACTGCCAACCCCGTGCTCCCATGGGGAGGCCCCTCGCAGGGCAGTCTGCACCCCACCTGAGCCTGGCCCACATCCTCATCTGTGGGGTGGGGGCCGGGACTGACCCCCAAGTGTGGGGCTTCTGGGAAGTGAGCAGTCCTCTTAGAGTGGGTGGCGCCCTCCTTGCCCCTGCTCCCGGGAAGCCGAGTCCCCAGGCTGGCCTTCTGCACCCCGGCCAGGGTGGCCTTGTTCCCGCCACACCGCCTCCAAGGAGACCCCCGTTTCCTGAGGGGCACGTGCGAGCGCGGAGGGGGAGGGAAAGGTCTTCCCTCTGTGGCCCGTGGGAAACAGCAGGGCGTCTGGGAGTTTCCTTCCTGCCCTGTCGGTCATCACCCCCCAGAGTGGGGACCACAAGGAGCCTCGCTTCCCTCGTCTGTAGGAGGGGTGACTGACTGCTTCTTGGGTGATCGGGGTTACCTAGGACTACGGAGGTATTCAGTGAATACCACTGCCCCTCTTCTCTGAAAATAATATAAACGTGCCCTGGGCTGAGGAGCGCTGGGGTGCAGTGGCGGTGGAATGAAGGCCAAGGGCGACTTCCCAGGTGCCTGCAGGGAGGACCCGCCTCCCTACTGCACTGCTGGCCGAGGTGTGTGCAGCGGCCAGGTTGAGTGGGGGCGGGGCGGGCAGTGGCCATGCTGGTCACCGTCCTGTCACCGGAGGGGGAGGGAGGGCTGGAGGCTGTGAGCTGCTTCCCACAGGAGGCCTGCTCACCTGGCCCAGCGCCGCCCTGGCCGCCGAGCCCACCCCTGCCAGACACTGGGCCCCGGAGCTCCGTGCTGCCCCAGCCCGAGGGCCCACCGCTCACCAGGCTCCGCTCGTTTCGTCAGCACCACCCCGGGCCGGGGAATGGACCATGGCAGCCAGGCGGCCAGGCCTCTCATGGCCCCAGGGTGTTAGGGGAGACTGCTTTCTGCCCAGCCCCCATGTCAGTGGCTCTGATGAGGGGTGAGGACAGGCCAGCCCCGCATCCCACCTTTCCCCCGGTGAAGGCCTCCGTCCCGTCCGTCCCCACAGAAAGAAAGCTAAACTGTTCTCCCGGCTGCGCAGGAAGAAGCCCAGGTACCGCACTGCGTGCTGTGGGGCCGCGGCCGGCACCCGGCTGGGGCCCGTGCATGCCTCCTGCCTGCTCCGAGGGCGCCACTAACCCCTAACCTGCCCTCCGCGTGGTGCTGCCAGTGGGGCCGGAGCGCGCTGTGCTGTGAGGTGTGCGGCGGGCACAGGGCGGAGGGCAGGGGGGATGGCGGGCAGGCAGCCTGAGCCGTGTGTGCATTGGCCGGGCCAGACCCGACCGTTAACAGTGGCCAGTGACCAGACGGGCCTGGGAGGCGCGGGCGGGGCAGTGCTGAAGTGGTGTACGCCTGCCTCTGTCCTCACACCTGTTCAAGGAGCAACTCCTCCCAGGACACACTCGCTCACTAACGGGGAAGGTGCCAGCAGTGTCAGGCTGTCGCCACCCAGGCCCCTCCCCAGGTGACCAGTTTCTCTGTGCCCTTCTAGAGCCGCCCTGCGCAGGCGGCCACGCACCGCAGGCCCGGCCAGAGGCCTGAGGAGCTGGGTTCTTAAATTGATTCCACTGGAATGTGGATGTACACTGCCCCCTGGCTAGTGGCTGGTCTCGGTCAGCCCTGTCTCAGTGCATCTGAGCATGCACAGGGTTTGCCCTCGGCCCTCTGCCCCTACGCGGAGGCCTGTGCACACAGCTGCCTGGTTCTCGGTGCCGAACCATGTGGCTTAGAGACCTCACCCTCCCTCCCACTCCTGGGCTGTGGGGCACCCCGCTGTCTCCCACCGCTCATGGCCTCCGGGTGGTGTCCCTGGTCTTCCTGGAAGGGCCCCTGGGAGCAAAGGTTCGGAGACAGTGATGGTGTGGTGTGGGCAGAGGGCGCAGCGTGGGCGGGGAGCCAGGCGTTGGGGTGTGAGTGGGGGCAGGGCGGGAGGCAGCCAGAGGCCTTTGGGTCCAGCGCAGTGGCAGCTGGGAGGAGCTGATGTGTGGCTTGTGGGGACTCACTTTGCCTCTAGGATGTTTGGCTTCCTCCTGCTGGGGAGCTCGGGCCTGTGAGGCTACTGGGCTGCCCCTGGTGCTGGCTCGGGACCTGCCCCATCCCCTGGGGACCATAGGCCTCCAGCTCAGTGCTCCCCCAGGTGCTGCTGCCAGTCCTCAGGTACAGGGACACGCAGCTCACACATGGGCACATCACATGTTCCCAGTGAGTCCATGTGGACACTCATCACACCCGGGTCCACACACTGCTCTACATGCTCACACACACGCGTTCTCATGCACACGGACCCCAGGGCATCCGCACATGCACACCTGTCCCACACACTGCTCTACATGCTCACACACACACGTGTTCTCATGCACACGGACCCCAGGGCATCCGCACGTGCACACCTGTCCCACACACTGCTCTACATGCTCACACACACATGTTCTCATGCACACGGACCCCAGGGCATCCGCACGTGCACACCTGTCCCACACACTGCTCTATAATGCTCACACACACATGTTCTCATGCACACGGACCCCAGGACATCCGCATGTGCACACCCCTTCCACACACACTGCTCTACATGCTCACACACACATGTTCTCATGCACACGGACCCCAGGACATCCGCATGTGCACACCCCTTCCACACACACCTGCAGATTTGCACACTTCCTCTTCGGCGCTAGGACCTCCCTCCCCTGGACACCCTCTTGTCTTCCCTCCGCAGTGACAATGCCCCTGCAAAAGAGAACAAGAGCCCTTCGCCGCCGCCCGATGGCTCCCCTGCGGCCACTCCTGAGGTCAGAGTCAACCATGAGCCCGAGCTGGCCATGGCCGCTGCGGCCACCCCCGGGGCTGCCCTGCCCAAGTCCCCGTCTCAGGTAGGCGTGGTCTCTCGGTGGCCTGTCTCCTCTCCTGCTTGTCTTCCTGCTTCACTGTTGCCCCCTCTTTCCTCGGTCTGTTTCCTGCCCGCGCCTGGGCAGGTTTGGAGCCAGAGGCTTTGCCCAGAGAGGGCTGAGCCGCATTGTTCTCCCTCTGGCCCTGCCTGGCCCAGGCTCACCTTAATGGCCTGGCCCTTGCAGGGGCCTCTTCCTGTTCTTTCCGCCTCACTGTGCCCCGGCCTGCGGCAACGACCCCTCCCCGCTCCTTGGTTTTGGGTGGCTTTCCTTCCTCCATCTTCCCTTCCATGTCGGACACAGGCTCGGCCCTCACCCCGAGCACCAGGTCCTCAGAGCGGCCACCGCGTTGTCCTCGCCTTCTCTCTCCTGCCTGGGACAGTGAAAGGGCCCGGCGAGGGCTGGGCGGGGTGGGCGGGGTCAGGGCGGGTCCAGCGGCCCCTGCCCACCAGGCTTCCAGTTGTTTTCTGCAGCGGTTTCTGCAGCCGCTTCCCGGGAGTTGGGAAGGGGGGGGAGGGCGAAGCGTCCCTCCGTGGGCTGGCTGTCCTCCGCCCCCCCACTCTTGGCAGCAGCTCTGCTGGGCCTGTGCCTCACCTCCACAGTGATGAGGACACAGATGTAACGGTGACGAGAGCCCACCTCTGAGGGCACCTCCGTGTTGGCCGAGCGTGGAAGCTCTGACAAGTCGCCTGGGAA